TAAATTCTAGATAAAAAAGCTGCAGATTTACAATATGAATACTGGAAAGGCGGAATCGATTAGTACGTTTAGCGAGCATGAGGATGATCTTGATGACTTTGAGGGATCAATTATTTGGTCTCAAGAAGAACCGCTTTCTTCAAATGAGATTTTAGAATTCACTCCAGATCTGGAAAATCAAAATCGATTAAAATCTTTATGCCGTTTATGCGCTGGAGAAACTCTAAATCCCATTTATATTTACTCCGAATACGGCGAGTCTTTGAGACTTTTACATAAAATAAACACGTGTCTAAGTATTAAGGTAATTTTGGCATTTCATAATCCAATATTAATTCAATTCAATTGAAAACGGAATTGAATTAAAAAGGATAATATTAATTTTCAGGTAAAGAAAACTGATCATCTCCCTAAGCAACTTTGCTCAACATGTGTTGAAAAGATCACATGGTGCAATGAATTTGATGTTCAGTGTATAAAAGCTGAGGAAACTCTTCTTGAGATATTAAAGCAGAAACAGTCTTTCACTAATACTATAAGTGATGCAAATTCTCAGGAGAATGTAGACTCTTGTCCATTATGCATCGAAGGACGAATGAGAACTTATGAGGAAAATAAGAAAATTGGAACAGATACTGAATTGTATGACAGTGATATTGTTCTGGAAAGTAGTGATGAAGAACAAATCCCAAATGAAATTAAGATTGACAAAGATCCTGAAAGTGAAGCCATAACATTGTACTGTTTAGGTACTATGCAGAAATATCTGAAATGTGGAGCATGCATGAATTTATATCACACAAAGGAAACTCTGGATGAACATAAATGTAAACCTAACTTACAGTGCACCTCTAAGCCATATAAGTGTGATATATGCTTTGCAACTTTTACATTTGAAGAACGATTGCAGTTCCATCAGCATTTTCACAAAGATGTGAAAGCATTGTATTGTGAAATATGCAAAATTACATTTGGGAAAGAACTAAAATTGTTTTACCATTACAAAAGGTATTAACTGTAAGGAAATCATAAGAAATTTAGTAAAATTCTTATTAAAATTTATTTTATATTTAGATACCACTGTAAAGATGGTAGAGTGTCATGCTTACAATGTGGAAAATTATTTGAAAATCAGGAGGAACTAAAAAAACATATTTGTGTGGATGGAAAAACAAGACCTCATGTATGTGAGGTCTGTTCTAAGGGATTCTGTGATGGGTACACTTTAAAACGTCATGTGGTAACCCACCTTCCAGAAAAACCATATAAATGTCCTGAATGTTCAAAAAGTTTTACACAGAAATCAAGGCTGAATAAACATGTGGCTTCACATAGTATCATTTTTGAAAACAGTCAAACAATTTGGAGGTACTATCTTTATTTTTGTATTATATTTTACTAATAATAAAGCTGTTTCTTTTACATAAAGATGTGTTCGTTGTGGTGAAGCATTTGGAAGTTGTGAAGCTGCAGATGAACATTGCAAGAAACATGAGGAGAAAATTAGCCTTATTGAAGAGTTGCAAGTATTGAAGCTATATCATTGTGAATTCTGCAGTAGTCACTTTGTGGACATAGATCATCTAAAAAGCCATAGAGAATTGCATGCTGTTGAAAAACCATACTCTTGCAATAATTGTAACTCTACGTTCAAATCCTTTGCAGAAGCTGTTCTTCATTGGAAAGAACATTCAAGAATATTCAAAGTATTAGTAGTGTTCTTATGTGAAATATGCGATAGAGATGTTAAAGAGCTGTCTCTGCTTTACAAGCATAAACAAAAACGACATCAACCAGTGCCTAGAAAATCAGAGAAAGGCAAAGAGAAGTTCATTTGTGAATTCTGCGGAAGTATCTTTGCAGGTATAGAAGATTTTCAAGAACATGGAAAATATAGGTGCTCAAAATTTCCATGTGACATTTGCGGCAGCCTTCTGCCAACAGCAAATTCATTGAATGCACATAAAAGAAGACACAGTGGACTACGACCGTATGTATAAACCTTTTTTATGTTGCACCAAAATTACAGAATTTTCAACATTTTTCATTTGTGTATAGGTATGTTTGCAATATTTGTGGTAAGAGTTACACCCAGTCCAGTCATATGTGGACACATAAGAGGTTTCACATGGGTGTAAAACCATATGCTTGTGAATATTGTGATCAGAGATTCACAATAAAGCCAGATTTAGCAGATCACACTAGGAAGAAGCATACAAGGGAACGACCATTTAAATGTGATGTTTGCAACAAGGCTTTCTTAACAGGGTCTGTTTTTTATCAACACAGATTAATACACAGGGGAGACCGTAGATACAAGTGTCACTATTGTGAAAAAGCATTCACCAGAACAGAAGCGTTGAATAATCACATAAAAATCCACACTGGTGAAAAACCACATGCTTGTGATGTTTGTGGGAGATGTTTCAGGCAGAAGGGAGATATGAGAAAGCACAGACGAACCCAGCATACAGCTAAACAAGAGTTAAAATAGGTTAAACCAAAACAATTGTTAAATACCCTATTATAGGAATTTTGTTGTACTATTACGTTAAGATTGATACTTTTATAAATGCTGTAATACAATGAATGAAATGTAAATAAAACATTCATAGTAGTACAATGAATCCTTTGTATCACAATTTTGGAAAGTTACAAACAATGAATATTTATTATGTTTAAAAATTGTTGATTTTGTTAGGTTATGAGGGAATTGAAAACAAAAATGGGGTATTTGTGCACGGAAACAAATATTTAGACGACGAAGTTTTAAAATGTTTTAAGTACGCGTTATTTTAAAAACACGCGCGACAACAAGTCAGAATAGGTGCGCAGATGCAACACGTACTGAACAGGTGATACGACTGATGTCTCGTGATTCGTACTACCGAACCTTGTGGTTCTAACAAGTTGCAATCGTTACTGATAAGGATTGTATGCATTAATGAGAGTCATTTCAATAAAACTGAAACGATGACGAGCTATAGATAAAACAATTTTGTAAGGTGCTCCACGTACCTGACAAATCTGTAAGTCAACGTTCGATCATTTTATGATTTTATCTTGTACGTTAAACGATTTTGTTTCCGATCTTGATTGCGCGATTAAATGGTGTACAATGATTAATTAAACATAATCAACGTATTCTCGATGCGTTTTATTCGAAATTTTTTTCCATTATCGATAGAATGTACCTAACCTAATTAAATTTGACATATGCTCGTCGTCGCGGTAAAAGGTAATGTTTTTAATTTCAAGTAGAATGCTTTTATTTCATTGTAGATGAAATTATGGATAACATAACTAATTTTTTTAATTTTGAATTTGTTATTAATGGTAATAAAAAACAGAAAAATTTTGTGAAAAAATATTTGTATTTAATTTTCAAAAATAATGTATTTGTCAGAATCCCAATGAAGAATGGCGTTTCCACCACTAGTTAGTTCTACACCCCCTCCTCTGGATAATTTTGGAGATTCAGAAGAAGATGAATTTGGGGATTTTACAACTGGAGGCATAGATGGTAATTGCAATATCATTTACAGAATATCTGACTTTCTTTGTGTATAATAAAAATTATTTTTAGGTTTATCTGTATCATCAGATTCACCACACAAACTTGTAACACCGATACAAACACCTTTATCATCTCAAAATACCTCACCAAAAGTAAATGGCATTCCAGAAACTTCTGATAATTCTCAAACAACCATTGTTTCAAAACCAACAATTGCAGAAGATCTTTTAATTCTCGAGAAGATAAATGACACAGTGAGTGACATTAAACTGAAGACAAAAGTAGAGAATGTTGATGAAATAATAGCAGAAGTAGCAAATGATAACAAAAAAAGTTCAGAAAATGTTAATAATAACAATAAGGAAGACAGTTTGGGAAGGGGGTGTTTCGGTGGAGTTGGTATGGTCAGTGAAGGCAGTAATTTTGGAGAAAGTGAACAGGATGCTTCACCTAATCATTTAGAAGATATAGAGCCTTTAAGTTTAGATTTAGGAGATCCAACTGCTGCTCCTGAAACAACACAGTCAATAGATGAGGTTTTTTATGAGTATGAACAATTCGAGGCTCCACAAAATTGGGTTCCAAACAATGATATGTCAAATGTTTATAAAGCAGATTATTTTAAATTTAAAGAAACTGAAGATATTTCAAATAATGTGAACAGTTTAAATAAAGATTCTAATGTAGATGATAAGAAAGACTTAAGTTTGGATTTTGAAGATTCTATTGAAAAGTCAAAATTGGAAGCTCAATTTGTAGAAAATCTAGATGTGCCTAATGAAAAAGAAGTCTTTGCATTTGAAGTTAATAACTCAAAATTCGCAAACTCAGTTGAACACTCAATTTTTTATGATCCTGTAAAGAAAAATCTTCTAAACGTTGATGATTCAAAATACAAGTTTTTACCCAAAAATCAAATGGAAAACGAAATTGTCAAGGACATCTATCAGTTTTCTAAGAATGAAAATGTTCAAATTAAGAATGATTTTCCATCTTCTGCACCACTGCCAGATATTTCCAGGTGTTCTAGCGAAGAATTTGGTGACTTCAAGTATGATTCTATATTGGAAACTTCTAATGCTATTCAGGTTGAGTTTCCTGATTATTCAGTAGAAACCAATAAGGTGAAAGGCGAAACGTTGGTTCAGGATGATGATTTTGGCGATTTCACTAATTTTTCGGAGCAAACGCAATTTGTAAAGCCTGATGAAACAAATGTACCTGATAAAGATAACGATGTCGATGATTTTGGGGACTTTAATGATTTTGAATCAGCCTCTGAACAACCTGTAGTAGAACAACCACAGATTAACTTGAAAGAATCAATTTGTCAGATAGAAAATAAAAATGTGAGTTTCCGTTATTTTATTTCCTCCATAAAATATTGAAGTATCAAAAATTTACATAAACTTTCTTTAGGCTGCTAACAAAATAGAGGACATTATAACAACAATGTTTTCTATGGATTCAGTGCAATGTGAGATAGAAATACAATCATTGATAAGCCAGGTAGATAAAGTCTGGCAGAGTATAAAAAATGTTGAGGAAACAAATGCTTTGACATATCAATGGGCAAATAGTTCCAGTAACAATGTATTGTTAAATTCTCTTGGCATTGATTCACGTAATATTGTAAGTGATATTTGTTGGTGTGATAATGTCAAAACAGTAATTAGATATTAAATTTAAGTGTTTGCAGTTATTTGGTCCAAGATGGAATCCAAATGTCCCCAGATTTGCTGCTAATCTTGGTTTTACTCCATTGGAACCAATCAAAGCCACAGCTGATCCCCAACCAGCTGTTACATCAAATATCAATAAAACTCAAACTTCAACCAACTTAGAAGTAAGTTTTCAATCATTCATTGACATATATTAAACAACACAACACACAACATATTCAACTATAATTAATAACAATAAAATCCAATTAGGAAGTACCTGCTGCTCAATTCGATTGGAATAGTTCGGGGCTTGTTAATCCCTTAGAAGCTAGTAAGTATTCAGTGCGGTATACGTTTATACAAATTAGTTTTATTTTATCGCCAAGAATACAGATAATAGATATATTATTAAATGTATTAAGAATTATTCCCCGTTTTATGTTCACATACTTTAGGTTTAAAATATTGCACTGCTTACCTCACTTTGTTTGCTTATGCAATTTTATTTTTGGTGTAAAGTGTGCTAATCGCTGGGAACGTTCTTTGATGAATCATGTAATCTAGGTGGTGGGTTATCTGCTCTTCTACCTCTGGACTTTTTGTGTCCTTTCGATCCTCTACTAACATCCCACAGCTCCACCAACTCTGAATCCTATCGTCGACCGAGTAGCACAAGGAATCCTATTAATCATCGTAAGTCTTAGGCTTGTATCTTGTACTCTATATCCTGAGTAGCATGAGAGATGTAAAAATATTAGAGTGATGATTTTACTGCATGCTTCTACTATGTTTTCTAAACAAACGAAAAAACAATCCTCTGAATGAAATATTTTATAAAACAATAGATGTCCCAGATATAAACCGAGAACGTTGCAATTCGGTGTCCAAAGTGGAGACGATAGACCCTTTGGAAAATGAAGTTATGAAATCACAGAAACGTTCACAGCCTTCGAAGATGATCGAGCCTCTGCCAGCCCCTCGTGTATCAGAGTGGAAGAGAAGAACGGACCTTGATCTAGGGCAAAGAAAGAGTACAGGTGTCCAGAGGAATATTTCAATGGAAAAGCAATACACAACCGAGAGACAGTATTCATGTACCGATAGACAGTATTTGTCCACTGAAAAGTCAACTTTAGGAGACTATCGTAGCAAGTCTGTGAACAAGAGATCTGGATCAGAACACGTGGTGATGGACAGATATGGTCGAGTAATGCCTATTCAACCGGAAACATCTAGAGTATTAAACCGATTACCGGATTTGTCATTCCTGAGCGCTAGAACTTTAATGCTTGATCGCGAACACAAGCAGATCACTTGCGAAATGGGTGTTATAAGTCGTAAGATGCCCGGCTGAGTAACGTCGGTCTGAGCGCGAGTTTGAAAGGTCAAGAACATTTTCGATGGATATCTCTGTCCTCTGTGGACGCATCGACGAGACGTACAAACGAAGCAGAAACGACGTTCCGTATTAAACCTTTCAAACCCGCGCTTGGACCGACCTTCGATCCTAACCTATTTCCCCCTGAAGAAACACCGACTGATAAAGTATTCTGTACTTTCTATTCAAAAAAAATACAAAAGAGACTCTGTATGGAGTGTACTGAATAGTGGATGTCTACAGTACACTCTGAAATACAGATTTTCTATCATTTTTGCACGATAAGATGGTGACGTAGAACATTTTCATTTTGTTCACGCAATGGAGTCACGATACTTTATCGAATACATAAACTTAGATGTTCTGATAAGTTTTAGGTTCAAAGGCACTCATGGGTGTTCTTAATGGAAACATCACTTATAGTTTCTAGTATGTGATATATAATTACTGTTCTAGGTTCTTGAATTTGTGTATTTCTTAATCCGTTTTGTCATTTCTTTGTTTATTTTCAGATACAATGTGGACCAATTTATAGGTTAGAAATAGTATGTTTAATTATATTGTTTTTGTAAGTTGTAATTAAAATGAAATTGTGAATATTATAATCATTTAGTTAGTAATTAAATCATTTATATTAATATTACTGTTTCTAATAGTGTTCCAACTGTTATTATTATGCAATTGTCTGGTGGACACAATTTGTATTTTTAATCGTGTCTTTATAGGACCTTGCAGGTCTATAATGTACTTAACCTTTTATGTGCACTGACTCTGTTCCGTGAACAGGTGAAAAAGCGTGCAAGTTAGTGGTGCAGCCAGACTTTTTGATGGAGGCATGTGATGACACATGTTGTAGTTGTATATATTTGCAAATAAATCATTGTTACAATTATTTAAAATAGAATTGTTCTTATGGGAAGATATTATTAAGAAATTTTGTGTTCAACCATGTCTCCATGTTTTCATGTTCACAAGTATTCTATGTTACATGTTATATGCATTTTCTTATTTTATAGAATGATCAGAAATATGTATTACTAATTTAAGTAAATGGAAAAATTAACTAATTAGTTTTTCAATATGAATTTCTTTTTTCAGCCAATTTTGTATATCTCCTGGCTACATCATAATTGCAAGTAGTAAGTGAAATAAAATACTCGATGTTCGAGTTAAGATTTAGTATTGATATTACGTTCAGAGGGAATTGTCATGGATATAGCTGGTGTTCAAAAGTGACTTAACAAATAATAATGAGATATATCGTAGATAAAAATGTAAAAGTGTTGATGAGAAACTTAATAGGAGGTGCTTATACCTTTGACATTTGATAATTATCATTTTTAGTAGACTGAATGTTCTTATAGTATAACGATTTAAAGTCCATTTAAGTATTCTGTTGTTACTAACAAGAGGACTGATATTGCATTGGAGATTTGAAAGAATTTGGGGCAATCACAGAAAAAAATGTATAATGTATGTTTAATGCTATAAAAGTTTACATTTTAATTTTGCTTATTTTTGATTATAGTATTGAAGTATTACTTTAAAATGTCCAAGGTGTTAAGCAAATAAAAATATTTTAATAGTATTTTATTATTTTAATTTACTAATTAAGTTCTAATATTGATATTGTAACTACTATATTATAACCATTATTTTATTTATTATCTCAATTTATTCTTTATGATGAAAAGATGGAGATGTACATATACATATACAGGGTGCATCACGAATCAGCCCCCACAATTTTTTTGGCATTTCCAATCATCTAACAAAAAAATCTTGTGAACAAAACTTAGTCAGTACTCAATCGGCAAAAAATTGCAGATTTAAAAATAGCCAAGAACATTTCTCTTCAATAAAAAATGAAGGTCACCATAATTTCTTTAATTGGGATTACGTATTTTTAAGTGCACAGTATTATAGGTGTTGTCAAGAGGAATTTAATAACCTAGTATACTATTATCTTGTGATGACCTTGAATTCAGAAATCATCATGAATCGATTGCCACGATATTTGATTTATTGTTAATTCGACAATACATAACATCAACACACCACATTCAGACGAAAATAAAATGAAAAACATGTACAAGATGATACAAACAACTGGAAATTAAATTTGATTTAGGACGTACACGCAATCAATTAAAGCAAATGTTTGAACTGCATCCCACCTTCTGCAACACAAAGTTCTGCTCTTTTTTTACAAATTCTGATATGTAGCTTCAATTAAAGAATAACTTTGTACACTACTATTATGTGTTCTTTAAGGTTTTCGGTGCTTCGACGTTATATATCGTCGGTCATTAGATCAAATATCATGGCAATCGGTTCATGACGATTTCTGAATTCAAGGTTATCCCAAGGTCATAGTATACTAAGTCATTGAATTTGTCTTGACATCACCTATGTTAAAAGTTAAAACATATAGTCCCAATTAAAAAAATTATAGTGACTTTCATTTTTTATTGAAGAGAAATATTTTTGGCTATTTTTAAATCTGCAATTTCCTGCGGAATGAGTACTGATTAAGATTTGTGCACATTTTTTTGTCAAAATGATTGAAAGTGCCAAAAGAATTGTGGGGACTGATTCGTGACACACCCCGTATGTATACAGGGTGGATCACATAACTGAGACCACTTTGATTAGTACGTAAGTAAATGTTTCAGATAAAAGTTGAATGGTTTTAAGGGGGTATAATTTGACGCGATTAGCTTTTTTGTGTAAGATGATACGTAGAGGACATATGAAAGTCGAGTTTGTTTTTTTAAATGGAATCATATAATTTTTATTACGTTATTCAATCCAGCTCGTAAGTATAAAAAAGTATTAACCTGTTCATATAAAAAAACCATTACTTTAGGAAATATTTTAACTTCAATTATTCGAAGTGGGCAAATTTGGGAACTTGAGCAGAAATTTGCATAGTTCTAACGGGACCACATAGCATTATTCGATTTCTTCCTATCATTTGTATTTTTCAAAATTTCAAGGTCAATTAACGTATCCGAAAATTGGTGCTTCAGATGTTCGACAAAAAATTTGAAAATGAATTGACATCCAAGGACAACACTTTGAACATCATTCCTAAATTATTATAACTTTAACACATGTAAAATCATCATATAGAATAAAAGACATTTGCAGAACGGTAATCTTTTGCTTATGTTATTATCAAGATTCCCCAAAGTTCAAACATCTGAAGCACTTTTCGGGTACGTTAATTGGTAGAATTTCATTAAAAATGATTTAGTGACCATCGTAATACACATTACTGAATTTGTTTTACTATTATCTATAACTTTTGTTATAAAAAGAAAATGCTGACTTCCATTTAAACAATTGAAATTTTGAAAAATACAAGTGATAGGAAGAAATTGGATAATGCAGATTTCGTCTGTAGCAATTTCTGCCCAAGTTATTACTTTGGGAGTTATCGCCAGTGGTTCCAGTTATACCACTTCGAATATTTGAAGTTAAAATATGAGCCGTTGTTTTTGAAAGTGGTATGCCCATTTTTTTTTTTTTTTTTAATATCTAACTGTAACTACCATTAACTCATTTTTTATCTCCTAATTTTCATATCTCCTAAACTAATGATTTTTTTATATGAACAGGTTAATACTTTTTTATACAAAATTACGAGCTGGATTGAATAACGTAATAAAAAATATATGATTCTATTTAAAAAAACAAACTCGACTTTCATATGTCCTCTACGCATCATCTTACAAAAAAAAGAAGCTAATCGCGTCAAATTATGCCGCCCTTGAAATCATTCAACTTTTATCTGAACATTTAAACATTTACTTACGTACTAATCGAAGTGGTCCCAGTTACGTGATGCACTCTGCATATATATTTTAATAATTGCCTCAATAAGGACAATGTTCAAGTAAATTACAAATAGAAGAATCCTAATGTATACTTCCATCTTCACTTTAATAACTCATTTGTCCAACTCAGTTTGAATTCTTCTTTGCAAGAATAGGGTCCTCTTGTGCAGGATAAATTCACACAAAAGCCCGAATCATTTAATTGGTATTAGTCAGTCTTCAGAACTTACGTACCAACTATGAAAATACTTTATTTTTACTTTTACCGTGTCAATAAAAACTCTTATTTTTACCAGTTGTATGTTGAATACCAATACTGATAACCGTACTACACCAATCATTGTTTGACAACAGTACCACTACAAATATGCATATTCACATATAATATCATTAGTAGTTTACCAGAAGTATAGTTTTTTACGAATCATGGAGCGCCTGTAAATTGCAAAACATAATAATCAATGGGGTGAAAATAATCGTTCCTTTTTTTCAATGAAAAATTTAACAAAGATAAGTTATTTAGCTGTGGAATTGTGGCCATCACTGTACACGCTAGGCGTAGTCGTGCGCCGACTGGTACAACCAGGTACCAAATGCCACAAGGTCACGACTCGTATGCCCGTATACATAGAGGAAGAGTCAGTTGACGTGAGAGGAAGAGAGAGATCTTTTATTGTGCAGCTTAGTCTTGCGCCGGCAAGGTGCGCAACCAATGAACAGCGAAATAACAGGTGAAAGAATTCACACGTTGCTCCGGAGATACTGTGTGTTCTTGGTGAGAACGAATTTTTATCAACTAGCCTCTTGAGACTACTTTAAACGACTCATATATTACACTCACTATACTGACGAACAGTATTCTGCAAGTACTCGGGGAAAAAAATATGAATTACTCGATCAAAAATACGACGAATATAAGTAAGGTTATATTTAGAGTCGTCGGAACAGGATGTCGTAGCAATTAGGTTATGGCGTC